TCTTTTACAGCTTGATTAGGGTCCACCTGTCCCTAATTTAATGAACTGAATATAATCAGGAAGGGCCCACACCTGTCTGTATAAGATCTCACATTTGATGGTTTATGTCAGAATGAAAACAAAGTGATGAGATTGAGAGAACTGTCCAGAGACCTGTGCGATAGGATTGTGTCAATACAAAGATCTGAGGAAGGATACAAGAAAATTTCTGCAGCATTGAAAGTGTCCAAGAGCATGGTAGACGACAACCTTATCCACACAATGATAATGTGTAAAACCAACATAATTTTCTTTAGGGGTTAACTTGTTTGAATTATGTTAACAGAGGAAATATGAATGAATTGCATTGCATATACTAGCATAATTTGTGTAAATCCAAAGACCCGGTGAGTCCTTTTTTTCAGTGAATCAGGCCTCTGTGGAAGAATGACCTGACGGAAGCCATTCCTCTCTAAAAGACACATCACAGCCTGCTGGGAGTTTGCCAAAAGCACCTGAAGGACTCAGACCATGAGAAGCAAAATCCTCAGGTCTGATGAAATAAAGACTGAACTATTTGGCCACAATTCCAAACAGCATATGTGGGTAAAACCAGGCACTGAGCATCACCTCATTAATACCATCCCTAAAGTCAAACACGGTGGCAGCATCAGGCTGTGGGGATGTTTTTCTGTGACTGGGACACTAGTCAGGGTAGAGGGAAGGATGGATGCAGAACATATAGAGCAGTTCTGAATGAAAACCTTCTCCAGAGTGCTCAGGATCTCAGGCTGGGCCAAAGGTTTACACTTCAACAAGACAACGACCTGAAGCATAGAGCCAGGAAAGCACAGGAGTGGCTTTGGGTAACATCTGTGAAAGCCCTGGAATGGCCCAGCCAGGGTCCAGACCAGAAATACTAGAACATACATCCCTCTCCTTTTTTGAGCTATACGTCACGTCTACGATGATAATTCACCACTGTAACATTCCCCCCCCCCCCCCCCAGTGTCTACTGAAAAATGTCTGCCGGCTAAATGCTGTGGGATTGAGGTTAGGTGTCTGTAATATGAACAGGACAGAGAGGACTGAATGCTGTAGTGGATTCTAAGCAGCTGTACTATACGTAGTAAATGGAGTAAGAAAATAGTGAGTGCTGTAGTGCACTGTACTGTAAACCTCACACTCAGAAGAGAGATGGCATGAAAGCTGATGGAACAGAGGCAAAGCCCAGACATCAGCTCTACTATATATATATATTTTGGAGTTCCCAGGATGAAAAGCCTGTATAGCTAAATTGTCCAGTTTAAATCAATTGAATCCACAAAACCAACAACGGGGGCAAAGACTGTTCAGCTGGTTCACTGTTGAATTCTCAGCAGAAGCCTGTTTTCCTACTTTTTTAAAGCTATAATTATCTCCTATTTTTCAACTGGCCATAATCCTAATTTAAAATAGCAGCTAGTTTTGTGTCCCTCTATCTCTTTTGTGCTGCTGTAATTTTGTTTTTCTGCTTTTTTTCTATCCTTTTGAGCACAGTGCTTTTTTTAAATCACTGAACTTGTTTATCCATATACCACCTCCAAGAACTGATCTACATACTGTTATGCATCATCTGTTACCCTGACACACTGCAGCCAGTGGCATGCTCCTGCTTGGAGTCACGTGTAAACTTTTTATGTAATTATCTTAATGCTGTTTAACTCTCAAAAGTCGTAATTAGTGATAATGGTAGAATATCAATTCAATATGCTTCCCATTTTTATTTACTTTTTTTTTTTTTACACTTTCATCAATGGGCAGTGGTTAAATCCATGTTCCAACCTGTTCATATAATGCCCAGTAGTTTGATAATGGTCAAAAGTGTCTTAAAAGCTTTCCTCTTTCTTCAGCATGTGGGTGCTTCACATGTTTTACCCAAATCTTTGTGTGTCACATCTAAGAGCGCCAGTTACAGAGTTCTCCTTTTAGACATTCACAATAAATGTTGTCCATATAACAACATGAAATGTAGCTAACAGCTACAGCACAAGTTTCTCTAGTGACTGAATCACCATGACAGAGTCTGTATTGAATGGACTGTGTTCCAGCGGTGTGACCTCTTAATAGCTGACATACAGTATTTAATTGCCTGTTGTTGTAGAAGGCTGTTGTTCTATAGCTAATATAATTTTTATGCCCTGCACTGGTTTAATTTACAAATATTAAAAAAAAGCTATTATTAATTTTCATTTTAGGGGTCTTACCGAACCCTGATGGAATAAATAAATAAACCGTCCCCATGGATTATTATAAACTGTGCTCTTGAATTACTAAGTTAACTTGATTTGTGCTCTCAGTTTAATCATTTATGGCCTTAGAACAACTTGTCATCTGCGTGCCAGACTTATAGTGGTACAGCGGCTAGCACTGTTGCCTCACAGAAAGAAGGTTCCAGGTTTGAGCCCCGGATGACCTGATGCTTTTCTGTGCAGGGTTTGCATGTTCTGCGTGGCTTCCTCCCACAGTCCAAAGACATGCAGCTTTGATTGACTGGTGACTCTAAATTGCCCCTAGGAGTGAGTGTGAGTGTGAGTGGTTGTTTATCTACATGTCAGCCCTGTGATAGACTGGAGACCTGTCCAGGGTGGACCCCAACTCTAGCCCAATGTCTCTTTTCCAGAGGCAAGGCAATGCAAAAACTCATTCTGCACACATTAGGAAAAGGGTTCTAGTACTGGACCGGTCTGCCTGCAGTCCCGACCTGTCCCGACCTGTCCCCAGTAGAGAATCTGTGATGCAGAATAAAATCAATGAGGTATCACATCAAACAATGTGCCGCTGTATTTTTTCAATGTAATAGAGAACACAAATGATTTACAAATCACTATTTTTAGTTTTAATTTTGATTTTACATACCATCCCAACATTTTCTGATTCAGGGTTGTATGTAGATTTGGTTTTACAGCAACAGGCTGGTGCACACCTCCAGAGCTCCACAGTCTCTGACTTATCAACACCCTCCCATAGCAATTTTCCACACAGTCACAAATGAATTATACATCACTAACATATTGTTAAATACTGTATATAATGTTTATATATGTAAGCTGTTGCTCACCAAAACAAAAACAAACAAAACAACAAAAACCATACTATTTTCCTGACAGCATATGGTCACCCTCCATATTGACTTGATCATCATGAAAAAGAAATGGCAACAATAAATCAAATTTTCATCACTTTAGTCAATTACAATCTTATTTATATGCAACCAAAGGCCAATTCTTCTAGTGAAGCATTATCCCCACTGGCAGCTGTTTGGATCACACAAATCCTGTTATTTTTAGCTGCCAATATTTTACTGGTGTCTGTTATGACTGATCAGGCTCCTGATGTAACGGAGATTTGTTTTTAATCCCACACCCTCCACTGCCTCTGCCTCTGTAGTGTACCAGGAAAAATCAATACAATTAATAGCCATAAACATTGCTGATGTCTCCCCGATGATACAAAACGAAATCTATTTTTGACCAGTGTATTTCAGCTGTTGGTCAACTGGATATCTTTCCTCTTTCAGCTAAACAAGAGCTGCTGACAGACAGACAGACAGACAGACAGACAGCTGTTCTGATGGCAAAGACACGTCTCTCTTTTCATATGAATTCCCAGTCAAATTTGCAATCTGGAAAGCGAAACTGCTAAAATTAGCAGCTAGAAAAGGGAGGTGGGTGGTTTGCCTGTAAAACACCATTTGACTTGGTATCTGCTTTGTTTTCAAATGAAACTGTTAGAAACAACTAACAGCCTCCTAATAGGTCCCCACTGTGCTGAGCTGCATATTCCTTTGTGCAAATGCTTAACAAGGACCTTGTTTATATGACTGAGGTTTTCCTTAGCTGGGCTGCAGGTAAACAAGACTGTATTTGTGACAAATTGCAAGAGAGGAGTATGTCTTGAATGAACAACAGAGTGGGAGGCATAAAGAGGAAGCCACAATTACTGTACATACGGTCTAACATGTGCTGGAGGTAGCGGTCAACAAACAGCACGTAGAAAATGACTGAAACCTTTGATTCTTTAACCAGACTAATTATGCTATAGTATGTTTAACATGGTCTAATAGTATTTAGACATGGATGGAACAATAATAATAAGAGAATAAATTTTGTTTGGGAGAGCTTACTGTACTTGGACTTCTAAAATCTCTCTTTCATAGATAACAGTTCATCATAACATTCTATTAAATGACATTGTTGGACCACAACTTACATTTTGTGGTATACTTTTTGGATTGCAGCAGTAAAGGCCAAGGCTAAAGCGTTCCTTAAAAAAAGAAAGTACTGTAGGCTGCATCTCAACATATGATGCATATGTTTATGCTTCCAGTGCACAGCACAGCCCATGTCCTCTACTCAAGCTGGGAACACATGACTCAGTAAAAGGGCCAATTCTAACTTTGTGTTGTATGTGAAGGTTGATCATCAGATGGTGGAGAGTCTGTTATAGACTTTGCAGTAAAAACAAGTCATGTTACATGGGGTTGTTTGTGGTACGTTCCTTCGCAGTGTGGTGGGCGTTAAATAAGACAGCTTTGGGGTAAGAAGGTAGAGTCCTGTGCTTCTGGCAGAGACCAGATGACTCCCCGCACCTCCAGCCTCTGCACTAATATATGAACTACATCAAACTCCTCATTAGACAGCAAACAAGCAGGCACCCTAACATCACGAACAGAGCACATTATACATGTTATAATGCCTTATGTAATAATATTACTGTATGTGTTACCCTCTTATAGCTTTTAGTTTTGCTAGAAAGTTCTTCATACTTACAAATAACACTTGGTTAAAATTTTATGACAAGTTATTTTTAAATCAGCCATAATACTTGATCCTGCTGCAATGTCATAATGTGTTTCATAGTTGTTATTTCATGCAAATCGTTGTCCAGCACATCCTATCAAACTGACAGCTAGTATATTAAAAAGCTCAGTGCATCATTGCTAAAAACATTTATTAGCAGTTCAGAGAGAAGAGGGGAGAGAGGAATGGAGAGAAAAGAATTAAAGATACAAACAAATACCACAAAGGAAAACAGCCAAACACATTTACCACATAGGTAAGATTAAAGCAAATCCTTTCAAGTCGTTTTTTTAAAAGCTTGTACTGGAGCAGCCGAAATACATATACAATAAAAACACGCACTAAATCCAGCTCACTGATAAACATGCACGCACAAAGTAAACATAACACCCTTAAACAGCCACCAAATCTACAGTCATGGCCAAAAATATTGGCACCCCTGCATTTCTGTCAGATAGAAGTGGTGCGTTATCTGACAGAGATGTAGGAATGCATGACTGTAGCCCTTCAGTCAGCAAAATAGTTGATTATCATAAATAGAAAAATCATGCTTTTGTCCTAATATAATATTTGATGCACCACAAAAAATGTGTGTGCAGCTGAATGTGACAATTGTGGCCTTGCTCAAAATTAGTAAACAGCAAGTGAATGTACAAAGCTCAGCCATTCTAGGTAATAAAAGTGAAAGTTGTCTGTGCACACCTGTTTATCAATGCTTCTCTAGAAAAAAGAGGAATGTCTTAATTTCAGTTTGCCTTCAAAGTGCAAACATTTATTCTGGATACATTCCATTTACTGTGGTTCCAGTGGCAGCTGTAGGTGGCAAGTTTCTTTTCACAAAATTCAAGATTATTCACAAAGTAGGCTGGTTGTACCAGCATGACCACCATGCCACCAAATTTGTTCATAAAAAGGATTCATCAGGATTTTTTCTGCCTCTTATATGACAGATGGTGTCATCTTCTGGAACTGTAATTCACTTGCTGGCACAGTCATCAAATGTTTTAGGAGATGAGTTTGATTCGACAGCCATCGTCCTGCTGGTACCTTTTATTTAAAAAAAGCATCAGTCTTTTTAACCACCCATTTCCTCCAGTTAATACTTATTTAAACGTATTTCGCGAGTGACCTCCAGCAGCTGCTGGGCAATAGAGGGCACTATGGTGTTGCCTCTTCAAACGTGTTGTGTGTTGTTCTTTTTCACAAGTATTAAAGACCTTTTTAGTACAGTGAAACATTTTGTTTGCCTTTGGTTCCCCCCACTGTAAAGGGTTGGCACAGATCCATTTGCAAAGATTTTCTTCATCTGCCTCTTTTGACATTAGATGACAGTGCTACAGTGTTTCCTCCTCATAATCTGCTGCTGCACTTGTATTTAGAACAGGCAGACTTTCCTTCAAAGAGATATCATCCACCCGCTTGGGGCCACTGTCCTCGGGTTCTTCAGGTATGGATGGGTCCGAGTTACTGATCACATATCCTGGGAGGGCGGCATGCACCACTGATGGGCCTGTACTCCGACATGCACGGCTTGAAACAAGCGTTGTGGAGCGTGTGGAGGGCCCACCCCCAGCCAGATGGGACTGGCTGGTGTAACGGTAGCGACCGCAGACCACAGGGCTGTCCCTCTCAAATGCCAGGTTCCAGCGTGTCCACGTTTTCTTTATTTCTGTCTGGACCTGTGGGGATGGGACGGACAAAGGCTATAAACATCAAAACATAATTTAAAATGGTCATAAAGTGCTAAAATTATCTGGGGGTATTTTGTTGCATTTATCTGGATTATCCATATTTGATAGACATTTCATCAGTGTTAACTGGGAGCTGTAATTTAGGCAATTCAAAATACTGTAAGTGCCTCCCCCTTTGAGCATGTGCACAAACTGCGGCCATCACTGTGTGCATATTCACCAACCACTGTGTGCATACGTGTGCTACTGTTTTTGCAGGAGTTACCACTGCTGTCCAAAACAGTAGGGAATACTGCTGAAAAACTGCACTTCAAACTATATCATCATTATCATTTCAATGACTAATTGTGCCACAATTGCTGTCTATGTTAATAGTTCTGACTCAACATTATTTGCAAGGACCACTGACTGTATATAAATAGATGGACGATGTGTCACCATTTCCTGCCAAAATATCGTGACTATGGGAGCTGCCATCTTCCTATTTTAACACATTTTGCCTTCTGCACAGTAATGACCAGGGCTGGAACTTCAGTTGGCCAATCACAGCTGTCGATCATTTTTATCTAATCTGCTGAGATATTAAACAGCCTTACTTGAGTTCAGAATTCATAATCATGATCAGTTGTGACCATCTCACAGGAGAGATTGACTTTAAAGGTTTTTCATACCAAGCCTGCAGAGGACTGGCTTCTGGCATTATGCACTTTATTACTGGATTAAATCACAATACAAAGGCACTCGTTCCTCTGAGTTGCAGAGTAGAGTGCTAATTCTAAGTAGTGGCCGACACCATTTCACTAACACCACATGAGTCATTTGGTTTAATAATGACATTCTGCTTTATGTGGCTTTGATTATAAAGTTGTCTCTTTCATTTTGAATTGTTTGAGGCCACTCCCAAAAGTCATAAAGGATGAAAGCAGTCGTCTATAGGATATAGTTAGTATCACAAAAAGAGAAAGAGGATCGGCAACATGAACAGAGAGGACTGGCAGACATGGCAATTCTAACTGCCAATTGAGAGGGCTGAGCCAAAAGCATATGAGACATAAGGGGGAGAAAGAAAATGACTGACACCACAACAGCAATTTTCATCACATTTCATTTGAAAGGACAACAAAGACATGAATTGAAAGAGCTACAAGAATTTAACATATGTTGCAGTTTTACTTCAGTCAGACCCTCAATTATTTATTCACTGGAGTGAATAAACCCAAAACCAAACTAAAAACTGCTTTACTCAGTCATTTTCCAAACTTTGTCTTTTAGTTTTGCAGTGTGTTTTCAGTGTGACCATGCCTTTTGTAAAAAAAACAAACTATCCACTCACCTCTCCATTACAGTAGCAATAGATTATGGACACAAAGAAACCCTGAAAAGAAGACAATGACATACAATATAAGATGTGAGCTTAGATCACAGTGGGAGCCATTCTTATTCTTATCTGGCCATAATACCATCACTATCTTTACCAAATAAACTTGTTCCATGTCACCAGTTTTATCATAGTGCTTTTCTAATAAAAAAAAAAAATATTAAGCTCTTTGCCTGCTTCTGTCTTGGTCTGTTTCACTCCATGTTCCTGCACCCTGCTAAGATAAAAAGTCAAAGAGACTATCTTTGTGAAAGTAATGAATTATGGGAAGACAGCACAGTGTGTGTCTGTCTATGTGCGGTGTCCCCAGATAAACACAGTGTACTCTGAGAAGAAGAACAGGCCCCAAAAGCTCATTTCATTCCTTTTAGTCTATTTAGCAAACAGAAAAGCAGCAGCAGCACCTGTAACTTTTCTATTACAGTCCAATGCTCTTTGAAGACCCCAATCAGTCTCTTCATTTAAAATAAATTTGAAAACCAGATTTGAATAAGCTGGAGCTATAGTAGATTTAGAAAAACCTGTTGACACAATATTCAATCCAGTACCACAAGTATACTGTACTGCACAAACCAGTACTGACATGTTACTATTCCTCTGTGATAACAGTAATGTAGAGAGAATTTTATTGTATATTCATTTATTCAGTCTTTTTCTACCGCTTAGTCCCTGAACGGGGTCACGGGGGGTGGTTTGTACACCCTGGACAGGTCGCCAATCCATCGCAGTTTTATTGTATAATGTTGCACAGTTACTATTGTAACATAGAAGATATAGTGGGTGAAACACAAGGTACTGTATTTAGGGACCCAGTAGAGGATTTTAGCCAGTTCCTAGCAGGTTCCTAGCTCTGTGTGTGGCTCAGCACTTTTCCTGGCGTTAGTTCCATACAAGTTATACTCAGCTTCCTTTTTCTTATTTTTTGTAGCTTGGGCTTTTATTTAGAAATTGTCTCCATGGAATCACTAATGTTTTTTAAAGTATCATTTTGAGTTCCTGTGTTCAAATATGTGAGTGCGTTCATCATAATCTTTTCAAGATGGAATATATGGAACTCCTCTTTGCAGATGCTTGCTAAAAGACATTATATATTGCTGACTGAAGAACGGGGCTCTTTCTTTTGTCTTATTTGTAAATATTGGTGTGATGGTGTGAAAAAGGAGCATATAAATATGTGACTATGTAATGCAATGCAGTCACTATCTGCATCATGGCTACCATTATGTTTTACCCTACATCTTAATAGTTGTGTCATTTTAATAGTTTAATGAGGTTGTTTATTTCCACTTTGCCAAACATCAAATTTTAGTAATATTAAATACCAAAAGCACTCAATTACAAACAAGTGTGAAGTTATTATATAGATTTTACAGGATGCCCACTAGTTTCTGCTGTTGCTGAGACCAGACGAGCGGAATACCCTGGTGAGTGTGCTTCAGAGACGTTTTGGAGAACTTGACCTACAAGATGCCACACTACAACCAGGTGCCGGGAGATTCCCCCCACGTTTTGGGTTACGATGAGAGCCTGGGTCGGCGTGCCTACAGCTTAATGCCACCTGCCTTCCAGGGTGGGTTGGTAAGAAATCAGTTTATCCAGGCTCTCGTCCCTGACAAGTTTAAACTGCATGTGCAGCTGGCCCACCCCTGAACCATGAAGCACTGGAGCTCGCAGTGGAATGGGTGACTGCTGCCAGTGCACCGGGTCATGGTTGCTGTGTGGTGTGGCCAGCGAGAGAGCAGCGAGGAGAAGGTAACCTGCCAGGTCACTGCCAGAGCTAGCCAGCTCTGCATTGCCACAGTGGCTGGCGAGAGCGCACAGATGAAGGGGAAGAGAACGCATGACTGTTGCTGGCCGCACCATGAAGCATTGGTTTGGACTGGCCAACATTCATGATCTTCAGCCTTGGCCTGCTGCAAAGACTGTCGGATGTGGTGTACAGGGTTAGACTGCGTAAGTGGAATCAGGTGGTGCTTCACAGGCACAGACTCACACCATACCAGCCCATGGTTTCACCTGAGGGGGGAGAGTCAGACAATGGGAGCCAGCCACGAGCTGGCAGAATACCCCATAGTGCTTCTCTGGGCAGCGTGTATAGAGTTTGGGGTTGGCAGGGATCGTTCAGTGTGTGCCTGTGTTCTGTTGTTGCTGTGAAGGTGCCAGAGTGAGAAATAAAAGAGAAAAAGGCAACTTCTGTCTCCGGCTTCTTCCTCAAGCTAGCCTACATTACAATATGTTTGGTTTTCACACAAGTGTGAGTCCATTCTCATCAGGTACATGCCATGTTTTTGCATTTGTCTATGTTTGGTATATTGTGGCTTCAAATGCATCTGTGCATGCTGAAGTGGGTGGGTGTTGCAGCTGATGGTTTTTAGGCACATCAGGTGGTGCAGTGGAATATTGGTATTCATTTTGTCATGAAATTGGGCTGTTGTGTCTCTCATCACCATCACAAATGCATCCACACAGACTCCTTTTTTGGCTTTAGTTGGCAGAGGCGCACACACACACGGGCCTCTACAAAATCACAAAAACCCATTTGTGTGTTAAATTTGCCTCTTGCACTTTGATATGAATTATTTTAAGGTGTATCAAAGATAACATAGATGTCATTTAATTGTTTGAAGAATGAATTATTTTTTGGTTGATTAAATAACTGAAGTTGTCACATTTCAGCAAGAATTATGTTTTTTCCATCTGCAGTCTCTAATTTCAGGGCCTTGCTCTCCATTATTATTTATGGGCCACACAGTTTGGGTACATACTGTACATTAATGCACAGGGATCTAACAAGCACTGCACTTTTTGTGAATTCCACATACTAAACTGTTCCACAGTGGAGTCTCTAACCTGCTAAAAAGCTGCTTTACAGTCATCTCATTGAGTCTATTAATAGATTTTGTATTTACACAATGAATATAATTCAGTGAGCCTCATTCACCAACTGTTCTTAATATCTGGCAGCTTAGAGACTGATAATATAATTTAACTAACTGATGTGGTGGTCCTTCTGTTTAGCACCACACTTGCTAGATTGTTTGTCATATGCACTTATGAGCAATTTTATGTTCAGCCATCAAGGTCTGGTCATTACTGGGAAAGAGATAGTATAAATAAATAAATGAATAAGTAAAGAAAGAAAGATGAGAAGAGCCTTCAACCGTGACCAAATAGTGTAGCCAACTCCAGTATTGCTTGACTATAAATACTTAACATTGCATTTTCAGCATAATGAAGAAAGACCTATTTTTATGTTGTTAAAGAACATTGTGGGCTTTGTACAGTAATGAGTTCCCGTGGCTATCTCCATGTTTGATTGCCATGGTAGCTCCATAATTAATTTGTGTGACTGGGTTCTGTCAAGCAATATAATTTGTTCCATCAATTTTATTTTTCCATGAAATGGCTCGTTTCCTGATACATTCATTACACTGAAAACTATTAAAGGTCAAACTAACTGAATTAATTGATTACACTAGCTCATAAATTCTAAACCATTTTTTGCATGCCAAGGTCAAAACTAAACAATAGATAGAAGATGTAGTATTCACTTAGTTGTCATCTTTCTGTATAATGCAGTAGGTGTACCTAATAAACTGCCAACACTGACACACAGTACAGTTGTTTGAAATTAAACTTAAGCAGGAATTTTGATACTGAATGAATCCTATTATCAAGCTGCATCTGTAAATGATGAAGTGCTGTCTTCACCCTTACACTGACATTTACCTAGAGTAATTGATAGAACATTGTAATTAGTAAAACACAATCCATGAAAATGTGTGTGTGCACACCCTGGTATTACTCATATTACGAGTTGTAAACCTGTTTACACACTCACATTGTGGGGACCTGACGTCCTTATGGGGGCAAAAAGGAAGTTGCCAAAACATAAATCATTATGTTTTAGTTTCAAGCTTCAAAGATTTTTATTGTCAATTCCCTATATGTGCAGGACATACAGAAAATCCAAATACCGTTTGTCTCTCACCTAATATTGAATGCTATACCATCTAGGAATCTAAAACTGAATAAAACAAAATAAGAAAACTAAATGAAAGTAATTAGGATAAAACTAAACTGTACATCCTAATAGGCTATGACTCAAAACTATGTACAATAGTACAGTGACAGTAGTGCAAATAAGAACATTGTCAGGTGGTCAGCATCACCAGGAGCATTGGTGATGAGATGCATGATAGCTTATGAAATGTATATGGACAGTAGTGCAAATGACCAACAGCAGCAGATATGACGTAAAAAAAAAAAAGCAATATAACAAGAAGGGGTTTGGTGCAAACAGCAGAGGTAGTCTTTTTATGTTCTGTGGTGGGTCACAGTCCAAGGTCAGGGGGCAGAGGGGGGGAGGTAATGGACAGTGTTCAGCATCCTCACAGCCTGGTTGATGAAGCTGTTTGTAAGTCTGGTGGAGTGGGTGGTGGAGTGGGCCTGAAGACTCCGATACCTTCTCCCTGAAGGCAGGAGTCTGAAGTGGGAGTGTGCGGGGTGGGAGGTGTCATCAGCAATGCTGATGGCTCTGCGGGTGAAGCGGGTGTTAAAGATGTCCGTAAGGGAAGGCAGAGGGGCACCGATGATCTTGCTGGCTGTTTTCACTATGCGTTGCAGGGTCCTTCTGCAGGAGGCAGTACGGCCTCTGTACCACACAGTGATACAGCCACTGATGACGCTCTCAATGGTGCCCTGGTAGAAGGAGTGCATGATGGCTAGACATCCTGTCTCCACTAAACATTTCTAATACATAAAGTATCTAACCAATATCTATCTGACTAAAAATACCTAACAGTTCTTACACCACTGTACCAGTTGGCACACCTCACTCCTGTAGTTTGCCTCATCATTGTTGGTAATGAGGCCAGCTACAGTCGTGTCATCCGCAAACTTGACAATGTGGTTGGCGCTGTAAGTTGGCACACAGTCACGGGTCAGCAGTGTGAAGAGCAATGGGCTGAGCACACACCCCTGGGGAGCCCCTGTGCTCAGCATGATGGTCTTGGAGATGTTGCTGCCTCCACGCTTGCCCCACTTCTGCTTCTGTTCACATCGCTTTCGCCGCCGCCTCTCAGGGGTGGTGTAGCTGGTGTGTCCGGTGATGTAGTAATCCAGCGGAGAAGCCCCAGGCCCCGAAGTTCCTCTGTGACTTCCAAGTGATGGTCCAAGTTGAAATGTTTTGACTTATTCCCTATATCCATAAGGCAGTAGCGACTGTATTTTGAGAGCAACGTAGACATTGAACTACATGCACCAAAACATAAACACGACAAACACGAACACACACACCGGAAAACACATTTTTAGGCACACAACTCGGAGAGAGAGGGGCTGCTGCGTCCCTCACACCGCCATCTTAAACCATGAAGGGTGACTTGGGTTAAGATTAGGGTATGATTATCATTAGGCAAGTGCTGTAGTATGTATGTAAAGAGTTTAGAAAGTACCTGAAATGAATTGAAGAACAGCTCACAGTACATGCGGACCTCCCAGCTCGGCCCCTCAAATGCATGAGGCATACCGACAAAAATGATGTAATGGATGCCAAACACCAGCACTAACACTAGGGTGGACTTTGCCAGTTTCCTGTGGAGACACACATACACATATATAATGTATACAATGTGTGTGTGTGTGTGTGTGTGTGTGTGTGTGTGTGTGCACACACATAAGTTTTTTATATTTTTATATTTACATCATAACTGCTTTAGATTTTTAAGTAATAAAAGTAATACAATTATTACATTTATATATACAGTGCCTTGCAAAAGTATTCATACTCCTTGAACCTTTCCACATTTTGTTACATTACAACCACAAAAATAAATGTATTTTACACAAAGTATTGCATAATTGTGAAGTGGAGGGAAAATGATATGTGGTGAACAGTAAAAGTATTGACTCAGGGAGGATGAATACATATGCACGCCACACTTTTCAGATTTTTATTTGTAAAAAATCTTGAACACCACGTATCATTTTCCTTCCATCTCACAATTATGCGATACTTTGTGTTGATCTATCACATAAAACCCCAATAAAATACATTTAAGATTGTGGTTGTGACGTGACAAAATGTGGAAAAGTTCAAGGGGTATGAATACTTTTGTTAGGCACTGTATATTCACTGCAGTTCAAAAATTCGGGATCACCTACGTTTTCCCACTTATTAGTGTAATTCAACAGCCAAACACACTTGTGGCATTGTTTCTAGAACTGAAATTAAACATTGTTCAGACAGACAGCAGATATCCTGAAGGATTAAACCCTGAAAAGGTCTGACTTCCTTTGTTAATTGCCTTTTTGCAAATAATGCTGCAGAGACTGTCAACACTTGTCAGTATACAGATAGAATTTGTTGTTGCAAGTCATCAACAAAAGTTGGAACATTACCTGATACGTGAAAACGGCCTGATTTATATGAAATGTACACATTTTTAGTTTTTAATTTGTTGTACCTCTGGCATTTTACTTCTTAGCTTTGTACCATTTAAGGATATTCACTGGATGCAAACTGCTTAAATGTCAAAATTATATATATATATATATATATACTGCTCATTCCTGAATAGGGTCATGGAGCTAACCCTAGATGATATTGGGTGAGAGGGTACATTCTGGACAGGTCGCCAGTTTCTCACAGGGCTGACACATAGAGACACATACCCACACTCACTCCTTTGGGCAATTTACAGTCACCAGTCAACCTAAGCTACATGTCTTTGGATTGTGGGAGGAAACCGAAGTACCTGGAAAGAACCCACGCACGCACAGGGAGAACATGCAAACTCTACACAGAAAGACTCCGGGTCGAACCTGGCTGAAACACAAAATCTTCTTGCTGTAAGACGACAGCGCTAACCCCACTGTGCCGCCCTGTACATATGTATATATAAATATATATACACTGGTTGAGCATTCTGAGCACATGTGGAGACATATCCCTGGGTTAGTGACAGCTGCCTTTTTGCTGTTAATGTCACTCAGTACTCCCCGCTGTGTGAGACGGGGACTGGAGGAGCCCAGCGAGACGACAACCCACAGCTGGGGAAAGACCTACCCAATGTAGTGACAGTTGGGTGACAGCCTGATAGCAGAGACTTTCAGCCAGGCTCAAAGCTCTTATCATTTTTTTATTTGTGGGACTCATATTAGGTCATTTTTTTAGGTTCTGACATTGTTTCAGGTGACAAAATAACCGTGATTGGCCAGTCTATCCAAGTAATGCCAATATAGAAATTTGTTCCAACGTTTTCAGAGATGTGTGTGCTCATTATCTGACCAAGGTAGCTCTATTAGCAAGCAGCTACATCTCGTTCAGAGCACAGAAGTCTAGCAATTAATTGACAAGTGTTATAACTTAATTAAATCATGGCCAGAGTGATTAAAACACAACTTGTAATAAATTGTAGTTGTTGGTTTAATTTATAAGAGAGCTGCTGGAGATATAAGACTGCATTGTTCGTAACTACATTTGATCAGTCTCTTGGTCTTTGCAAGTTTTGGACATTTATTTCTCTCACCTGCTTCCTCTTTATTCTCTTTGTTGGCTTCTCTTATATTTTTGGACATATGAAATGGGCTGGATTTGGCTTACGTTTATCTACCAGCATAGCTTTCAGTTTACTGCACCTGATCACTATCATCTTTTTTGAACTAACAGTCTCCTCATCTACAAAAAAATAAAAAATAAAACCTGCCTTGATTGCAGCCTTTAAAATGGTTCTCTTCTTACATAATAAACTGTAATTATAATGTTTTTATGTGACACGATGTCAGAACCAGCAGGAGAGAATAACAGTGGTAATTGCAGATGTGAAAATGCTAGAACACATTATATCTGTGCTTGTGCATGTGCCTTTGTATTACTTACATCATGAGGACCGAAACCTCTTAACACACTCACACTGTGGGGACTCGGCCATCACTGAATTTCAGAGTGGCAACATGGTTTAGGGTTAGGATGAAGTTAGGTGTTAGGCAAGCAGTGGTTATGGTTAAGGTTAGGACAAGTTTACAGGAAATGAATGTAAGTCAATGTAAAGTCCCCACAAGGAATGAAAACACAGTGCATGTGTGTCAGTAAATGTCTTACATGTTGTGAGGCAACTCTGTCTCTGAGAAAAATGTTGTGATTGTGCTATTTAAATACAAATAAAAACCACTAATGACCTTCCAATTCAACAACCTTCTTTGAGGTAGGAAGCATTTACATTGTCACACATATAAAACTGGAAGAAAACACATTTCCCACATCGCAGTGGTAGTTTTGTTTAAAACATAACATTCACACTTACTGTTATGTGTGTCCTTTTTTAATATAGAATACTTCCATACCCATGTCTTGCTTCTAATGGGAAACTTTACTTTGTGTATTTTCCTTGCTGCCACAGGTTGAGGCCAGTTCTCCTAGAAAGCATTTTGTCACTTGCCTGTTGCAGCTGATAAAACTCAAATCTACCAAATGTGTCAGTCCACACTGACTCAGAGATATGCGTGTGAGATACACGTGAACCGTAGACCCCCCCCCACGTTTTTAAGCTTCAAATCTATTTCTTTTCTCTGGTGTGTTTAGCAATTTGAGGTCAAAATGAGTACTGAACTTGCACCATGCTCCCTAATCAGCATATGCATGGCCTCTGCTGCATCTCCCCTCCTACTTCAGCACAAGTTTATTCAATTGTGTCACACCAATGTGCAAAAAACAAAACAGATTTGCACCCAAGGAAAGATGCATAAAGACTGCGTTTGAAGCTACATCGGCTTTGCACTGCAGGACAATAGTACCATGCTCTGTTGGACTGTAGTGACTTATAGTATTGTGAGCTTTGTTAACAGTAAAATTTAAATATAGAGTGTATAGTATAGTATAGCCTTTGTTTTTTATGGTTGAAAAACAACTTGCGTTCCCACTGACTATTTATAAAAGCTCTTAGTCTATATTAAAACAAGAAATTGTATAAAATAGTGATTTGATTGCAGTTCAGTAACCCTGCCTACAGTGGATTCAAAAAATACTCGGACCCTTTCAAGTTTTTCACATTTTGTTGTTTCAGGCTCGTCTTAATTTTTTTTTTCCTCAGTCTACACCCAATACTCCATGATGACATTGTGAAAATAGTTTTTTTTTTTTTTGAGTGTTTGAAATAGCACATTTACATAAGTATTCAGACCTTTTGTTATGACACTTGCAATTGAGCTCTGGTACATCCGGCTCCTATCAGTGGGCGTTGAGATACTTCTACAGCTTGATTAGAGTCTACCTGTGCCTAATTTAATGCACTGGATATAATCAGAAGGGCACACGCCTGTCTATAGACTGTACGGGCTCACAGTTGATGGTGTATGTCAGAGTGAAAAGAAAGCCATGAGGTCAAGAGAACTGCCTGTAGACATGAAACAGGATTGTGTCCAGACAGATGAGAAGAAGGACAGAAAAATCTGAAAGTGTCCAAGAGCACAGTAGCCTCCATCATTCTCAAATGGAAGAGATTTAGAACCACCAGCAGTCTTCAGAGATCTGGCTGCCCAGCCAAACTGAGTAATCATGGATGAAAAGGTACCTATTCAGACAGGTAACCATGAACCCAAGGGTCACTATGAATGAGATCCAGAGTTCCTTTCTAGAGATGGGAGAACCTTACAGAAGGATGAACATCAGCACAGCACTCCACCAATCAGGCCTCTATGGTAGAATGGCCAGACGAACATCATTCCTCACTAAAAGATACATGAATTTGCCAAAAACCACCTGTAGGACTCACAGACCATGAGAAGGAAAATCCTCTGGGCCCAAGAGATCATTCCAGTATGTAGCTCTTTTTCTTTTCCTTTCTGAATGTCAGTGGATACTGCCAAATGCTGGTAGGGGGTTACTCCTGTCAAGCAGGCACAGAATGTAAGTGCTAGTCAGCCATTGGCTGCAGTCTGTGTGGTGTGTTCAAGTGTTACGCTTTCAATCCGATTGGCCCAAAAGCTGATGAAACACAGACTGAACTATTTGGCCACAATTCGCAACAGCATGTGTGGAGAAAAGCAGGCACTGACCATCACCTCATTAATACTATCCCTACAGTCCAACACAGTGGTGGCAGCATCAGGCTGTGGGGATGTTTTTCTGTGACTGAGACTGGGAGACTAGTCAGGATCAAGGGATGCAGAAAACTAGAGCAATTCTGAATGAAAACCTTATCCAGAGTGCTCAGGATCCCAGGCTGGGGTGAAGGTTTACATTTCAACAAGAGAACAACCTGAAGCATAGAGCTAAGAAAACACAGAATTTGTTAAGTACTGTGTGTAGAGATGAGTCTACAACATAACAAAATGTGGAAAATGTGAAAGGGTCTAAATACTTTCTGAATCCACTGTATATCAAGGCAAACTACAGTATTTCAAGCTTTTATAGGCATCTGGGTGTATTGAATGTTCAACAATACTGACATTGAAAATGAGCTATTGCAGAAAAAGACTGGAAAATTCTACAACTCACACTTTGTGTCACACTTCAACCTTGAACATACTGTAAGATAGATACATACAGATTAGATACAGTCAGCTCAGTACAAACCTGTACTGTTTCCTGGTGTCGTATCTCCCTGCATTTGTCTCTCGAATTTTAGTGGCCAACACTCTCACAATGTTCACGAATAAGATAAAGTTGAGCTGAAACAGAAGAAAAAAAGATGTAAAACCTTTCAGTTCTGCAGTAAATTAAAGTAGCCTCTCTTCTCATTACTGTAACTGAAGTATTAAAATAAGAAATGAAACCATTTAAATTGTGGTTTGCTTTTAGACCATGGAATGAAATGTCACCTCTCTGGTCTGTGTGAACCACCAAAATGATCAAATTGTTAAGACAGGCATGGCAGGGGGACCCAGTATACTCAGACACACACCAGGAGTAGAAAACAAAATGTTTATTGAACAAGGACAGGCAGAGCAGGTACTGGCTGGGAAGGCAAGGCAGAGGAAGAGCAGGTACTGGGAGACGAGGCGATATGGCTGCAGGGTGGCAGACGACTGGAGAGGTATGGCACGGAGAGACGAGGCAGGAGCTGGCTGGGTTGCAGGAGTGAAGGTGAGTCGCCATGCAGGTAAGCTTTTACTGTCCTTCACCATACATACTTGTACAGTAAACCAGAATGATGTATTCTAATGAAGTCATTAGATTTTACCTATAAATTACAATAAATAGACTAATACTCTTTATCAAACTTGAAATAAACCATCATCTCTACATTTGCTACATTTTATTCAGGTCTTTTTTTAAACAGAATAATGAAATAAACTGAAATAAACACTCCCTGCTGAAGTGACGCAAATCTGATTTGTTTCCTGCCGAGTGACTCATCTGACACTTTCATGCATGTGTAAACAAGCCAAATAACATTTTTCCAAGTCAGACTTTGGGCCACATCCATATGACCAGAGGCAGAACATGACTAAGTACAATTTTGAGGTATCTGTACTTTACTTGAGTATTTTCATTTTCTGCTACTTCATCTTTACTGCATTTCAGAAGAAAAATATGGTACTTTGTACTCATTATAAGTATTTGATAAGTTTAGTTACTAGTTATTTATCAGAGGGAGATTAATTTAAGAAAATATGGTATAATCATAAGACTTTATTGATCTTTGTTGGGATATTCACAAGCTATACGGCACTGTGAAAAGTACTTCAGAGGTGTTCCTAATATTCTGAATTCTGACCCTCTCATGTCAATGGGCGGGACAAAAAATATACAGACACCTCTGAATATAATGTAGTCCAGTACAACACCATATGGCAATATATTCAAGTTTCAATCAATATTTTCATTACATTTATTTCCTGAATGGCTTGCCATAATATTAACACCACCTTAACAATATATATATATATAATATATACACACACCTTGGATTGCGAGTATAATTTGCTTTGCCAACGTGCTCGTATATCAAAGCGAACTTCCCCATAAGAAATAATGGAAACTCAGATGAATGGTTCCACACACGCTTAGCCATATAAAAATTATTACAGTAATGCAAAATACAGTATAAAGTAAAAATAAAACAAATTAACCTGCACTTTACCTTTGAAAATAAACATGGCTGGCGTGAGGGAGACCGAGATAAGAGCTATCTGGTATCTGTTGGCTCACTAAAATCTTTTTCTTTTTGTGCTACTATAACAAGCAACCTGTCCAGTAGCACTTGCTTTTGCCTCCTTTTAAGGATTTGGCAGAAATGTGGAATTGCATTGTCGTTAAACAGATTTATTGTTCGTACTGCTACAGCCTTATTCAGGTGGTGCTTTTCCACAACATTTTGCACCATTTCCCACATTTTACACATCTCCCTTCACCTGCTGCTCATTATCCCTGCTTTTTGCTGGTTCATGTGATGTCATCACCACTTAACTTTGTCCTTGCCTGTCATCCTCTCCTGTGTATCCCTGCCTGTTTCTCTTTGCCTGTGTCCCTCCTGCTGTAGTACTGTACAGCAGGAGGGAGGGACAAACTCCTCACGGGTTTTTGACATGTATTTTCTTCTCCCTGCATTTTGTTCCTTTGTCTGGTTTTAGCCCTGTGTACCTTGTTTTTGGACCCTTTTCTTGGACACGTGTTCCCCTTTTCCTGGTGTGTGTATTGCGGTTTGCCTGTGTCTTTATCCAGCATCTACAGTTTCTCTGTTGGTCTTAGTTGTATTGTTGGTATGTTTATAGCTGTATCTGTATCTGTGCTTGCTTTGGTCTATTTCAGTTCCTGTCCATTTGTTATGGTGACTAAGTCATTCAAGCTCTACACTGAGCTCTTAGATCTTGTCTATTGTCTCTTCATGTGCCAGCATTAGTGTTTGTATTCTGTAACCCCTTACTATCTCAAGTGTCTGTCTTGTATTCTCTTGTGTAGTAGCGGTTTTTATGTCATGTAATCCTGAACCAGCCATCTCCTGTCAGAAGATTAACCTATTGTCCTGTAATTTAAGTCTGTTTATTTTTATTTATGTTTAGCAGCTAGCAGCTAAACATAGCTGAAAACAAATGAGTTTGAAGAAATAAATTGAACCTACAAATTAGCATATGGTCTTCTTTCTGCAGGTTTAAACACTCACTGTCTTCAGGAGATAATCACTTTTAGTCAGCACTTCATTAATCCTGACAAAGCAAAGCAAAGCCATCTCTGATTAGAATCTGCAGGAATCACCACATGGTAGCAGCTTCACTAATGCTACAGAGAGGTAAATGACAAGTCAAAATAGCTTTTTCAGCAAAAGGTTATTAATATAGAAATTTGAAAAAGTGGTCCTCACAGCAAGACACTGCATGAACACACACTCTCAAATCTTCCCTTTCCTTATTTGTGTTTTATAGCAGGGTTCAGCTAAGAATTCTCAGCCTGTAGCTTTCACCAGTTTAGAGGATAAGAGTGGGAGAGAGACTGATTACTCATGATTTGCACTGACAAAAGATACTGCTTCTTATGCCATACAGCCCATTTGAATTTCCATTAGAGGAAGCTAGATGAGTGAAAAAGCCTTTTCTACCTATGTATCATTGCAGTACGTGTACGTGTACAATATCCATTTTCAAATTCCTGTAGTGTACATGTGTGCATGCTAAAAGGAAAACAACTGTCACTTTTTTTTATTACAACACAGAACAGCATGGTAACAAAACATGGAACATGGATGCAGGACATTTACAGAAAAGTCTAACTCCAATTTTGTTATAATTTGTCCTCCCTGCTCATCTCAGTTCCTTTGTTAGTGCATCTCCACACTTCTTATCTGTGCTGTTCCTAACCCATAACCTGGAGATGATTAAAACAGCCACATTCAACCAGTTCTAAGGTTACTTTCTGTCTCAGGGTTCTTTGTGCTCTTTCCTTATTTTAGCTAGGTTGCCCTGGTGTGGTACACGTGTTTATTGTTCAGTAATTGGCTCTCTCAAACACACACAGCTTGCCAACACATCTTGTTTTAGTTGTGAGATTTGAAGAAAATGCTTTTTGTCCTACAGTATTTACGCAGGCAAATGTGACCAATGGCTGGTGGTAAACTACTAGAAAACTTTAGATATTCTTAACAGGGCAGTGTCATATATGAGCTTATAAACTGAATGAACACTTCTACTGTTTGTATTGCGGTGGATGTAGGTTGTGACTACACAGATCACCCTTGCAGTGTGAAGGTCTGGGTGGTAGATGGGTGTGTAACACATCTGACTTTCATGGTGGAAACTGGTATGTCAAACTGAGATTTCATTTATTTTAAAACCTCTTTCTCACATTGGCCATAAAACAGCATGCTTCACTTGCACTTAATTTCACTCCCATGTGCAGCTGTAACCTTGCACCCTGAAAGTGTGCTGTGGCTGAACAAGACACTGACAAAGGACTGCAGCTGCTGTTGAAGTGCTTCCTCCACTGGGTAAATTATTTACACTCACCAGCTGGGCTGAGAATCTCTATGTTGATTCCAATACACTACCTGAGATTTGGCATCAAAAATACTTTAATGCTTTATTTTGGGGTTTATGATCAAAATATTCTAGAACAAGGCCAAGAATCTGAACATTTTAATTTCTAACTTCTGATACTTGACACTTGTGGACTTGAGATTGCTTCTGTGGCAATTAAAATAACAAACTGGGTCACAGTTAAAGTATAATCAGGTCATACATCTGTGTATCACTTATAATTGTTTTAAAAATCTCTAATTTTAGCAGTAATACAGTGATGGAGAGGACCTCGGTATGTATATGGAAGGAAGAAAATGAATGAATGGCAAAAATCTTTTGGCCTGTTAAGTTGGTACATGTAAATATTTCTGTGAACCACAAGGAACTGTTATTAGGTGAGTCCCAATTCCCTTTTTTAATAGTTTTGCTCTACCTATAAGTCATTCTGGTCCACCATCTTAAACAGCAGAATCAAATGTGAAACTGAATTATGCCTGTGGGAGGAGGAGGAAGGAAAAAACACCAATATAGCAGAAGAAGACTATGTTCAGGTGAGAGAAGGAGAGAGACATGGCAACATGTTAGTCCAGTTAGCAGTTCTTGTCAAGCAAACAGAAACCATAAGATAAGTTACTGTAATGATGACCACCAAAAACAAACACTGGACTAACATAAACAAATTGAGAAACTATACACATTTCACATTTCCATATAAAGTGTATTTTTTATTTTGAGAATTTCAGTAGCAGCTCCTCTTGATAAAACCTGAATAAAATTCAGTGGCATGCAGAAGCATTTTTGTTGATCCTCATATATCTAATCTGTTAAAGACTTTGCCCTCTTCGCATTAAAAATTGTATTATTGTGGACATTTACATACTGTATGTAATAAATATGAAAATGCAGAACAAAAAAAAAACTAGACAAAGGCTGTGAGACTGGATTGTTTTTTGATACCACTGAGCTTGGATTTAAGTTGTCTCGCCTGTTTTATCCAGTTACTCCTGCCCTTTCCTTGTATTTGCTAGGAATTACTACTACTACTACTAGATACACAACCACTCCTGGGGGAAACTTAGTCACCAATCAACCTAAGCTGCATGTCTTTGGACTGTGGGAGGAAGCCGGAGTACCCGGAGAGAACCCACGCAGGCACAGGGAGAACATGCAAACTCCACACAGAAAGGCTCGAACCTGGAAGCTTCTTGCTGTGAGGT